CTTTAAAAAGTAGTTTTTGAAAAACCAGTTTGAAAATGTGCATAAGAAATGTGCTTTAAAAAGCAAAAACAAAAAAGCTTAAGCTGCCCCAAACAAAATCTTAGGTTGACGAATGAAAATATCATTTTAAATCTCTCTTTGCCGCAATACAAATATAGTTGATGGATAAAAATTCTTTGATGATTGAATTAGTTGAAGCGAAATTCGAGAAGCTTTAAGGATCTATACTTTGGCCATCAAAGAATGATGATAATATGTTATAGTATTGGGATAAAATAATAACAATGAATTAGAGGTCTATTGAAGTTACATGAACTTCAAAAATTTCTAATCAAGATGGATGAACTTGATGAATGATGATAGAAATTATCATGCAAAAGCTTGTAGGAAGAAGAGGTTGAGGGAGTAGAGCAACAACTATGTTGGTTACCTTCAAGGAATCTAGAGTTCACTAGAACTCTCTTTTTGACGATCATTTAATCTGACAATATCTTGGGTTCCACGGACAATGTGATATCTCACACCGGGTAAATCCTTAACCCTCACACCGGGTAAATCCTTAACCCTTTCTCCTCCCCGACACAAACAAGCCTGAAGGAGATCAAGAAGCAATGCAAGTGGTTCATGGACGGTTCATGGATAAATCTTTAACCACTTGAGTGCTCCAAAGCTTGCGAACTACATCAAGAATTATACTTTGTCGAGTAAAAAAATTCATGCACCATATCATGTTTACTATAGTTAATCATAATTTATATGTTAGTCAAGCTAAAATGATCATCATAAGTAAAAATGAAATATTATGTAATCAACCCTAACCAACTTATTTAAAATTCAATTTTATATTTTGAATCTACAGACAAAAAGTGGGTTGGATTGTTAATCATATGGAGCCGTCCAAAAATTATCTTGATCGGGCACGAATCTCAAAGCAAAATCTAGTTGGAAACTTCCGAAATTAAAATTAGGAGCATATGAATTTCGATTTCAGTAAACTTACAGTCGAACTGAGCGCCTCGGAAATACAAACCCAACGACAGCAAATTCGACCCAATCCGAGCCCAAATGGGTCCAAATCAAGGACCCGAATCGTTGTTGGAAGGTTCAAATCACAATTTGGATTACCAAATGGTTTCCAAACATAACAAGCTTATAGTCAAATCGAGCGGCTCGACGAGATGAATTCAACGAGCCCAAGATCACTGAATTCCAACTTCACTAAGACATTCAAATGTCCATCAAACGGTTCATAATCAAGGGTTTCAACATCAGCCATCCATCCAACCACTCACAACTTGCCTTTGATCCTCCACCTATTTACGGGCCATGACATTTCCAAATTCCATAAATAGAGCTCCATCTCCTCTTGAAAAGGAACCCCTAAGCCTAAGGAAAAAAGAGAGAGATCGGAGATCGCTTTTGCCTCCTCGACCACCGCCGGAGTTCTGTCGAACCACCACTGGTCCACCACCGCCGGCTTCCGCCGGACCACCACCTGACGTCCTGTGCTCCGCCGCACCACCACCTGACTCCCTGTGCTTCGCCGCACCACCACCTGACGCCCTGTGCTCAGCCGAACCACCACCTGATGTCCTGTGCTCCGCCACACCACCACCAGACGCCTTGTGCTCCGCCAGACCACCACCTGACGCCCTGTGCTTCGCCACACCACCACCTGATGCCCTGTGCTCTGTCGGACCACCACCTGAGGCCCTCGCCTTCACCGAACCACCACTTGAGGCCCTCACCTTCGCCAGACTACCGCCGGAGGCCCTCACCTTCGCCAGATTACCACCTGAGGTCCTCTCTTTCGCCGGACCTTCACCAGAGACCCTCGCCTTCGTCGGATTATCACCTAAGACCCTGAACTCTACCAGACCACCACCCGAAGCCCGAAGTTCTGTCGGTCCATCATTTGACACCCGAACTTCTATTGTACTGTTGTTATTTGTAATCTGATCGCCCTAAGAGGTGAGTCAGTCCATTGTAACCAACTCAAGTTTTATTTAAATCTTTTCAACTGAGTTAGGCCCCGTGGTTTTTTCCCTTTCAAGGGATTTCCACGTAAAAAATCTTGTGTTCTCTGTGTGTGAGCTGGATATTCGTGCAATGGTAAGATATAAAATTAAATCTCTATCGCCGCGTATATTCTAGCCCGCAACAAAAATATTTTCCAATATCTCCTAGTTAAATATTAATCCATGACTAATTATTTTTATGGGTGATAGGAATATTTTGGGTATCTCAGTTGAATATAAAAATCCAGAATATATCATTTATTAATTTTGAGAGATATTTTTAGATCTTATATTATAATGTATTGTTAGAATTACAATAAATATAATGTTAATAATTTTATTCTTTGTTATGCTTATAAATAAATGGGTTTATAATCTGACAATTATAACATCATACTTTCCACACTCAAGCTACCCCATCCAATTGACATCCTAAGATCAATTGAAGTAGGGCAATCAATAAATGGCCCGACTCAAAATATTTTTGTTCAAATTAAGTCTACTTCAAATAAGACTTAAGCACGATTTGTCAATCTCAACTGTCACAATAAAAGTCAAAGGATGACCGAAACGATAGCAAGTATGTTCAATTAAGTACGACTTAACTCCTCCAACAAAATCAGTACACATTTACCCCATCATTGAACAAATATTATCAAATATTGTTCAAAATAATTTAAGTCACAATGAACTTAAAACTATTTTTTTAAAAATAAAATAATATGTTCAATTTCAGAATTTACAAGCAATACGAAGTCAAATTTAAAATTTTCATAAAGAAAAATTCTGCGCCAATTTTCTAGGAATATAATCCGATATAAATACAGGACTCCGCCGGCTCGACCGACTTTCCGATTAGATAAGGGAGGAAAGGCTCATCGGAACCCTAATTCCCTCCAGTGGAGGAGACCATGTCGAGGCGGGAACGAGACGTCCGCGATTCCCATGGCAAGCGTCTCCATTCGAGGTTCGATCGAGAGCCCAGGTACCTCCCTATCCTTTTCACTCTCTTTCTAGCTGAGAATTAAACACTTATGTGGATGCTAGGAGCAGCTGAAGCTTATTGTCACCGTGTGGGCTCTGCTCAACTGCTTCTCTTTGCAAGATTTTTTTTTTCTTCTCTCTGTCCATTTTCTGGACGTGGCTTGGAGAGAAATGAATGCTAATTGGGGATCAATATTTGAAGATTTTTAGCGATGAGTTCGATGTTTATGAGGACTAATATGAGCGCGTAGTATCCATTGACATCGATTTGAAGTGGATTTGCAGTTGGTGTTGTGTGGCGCTTTCTCTGGTTTTATTCTGTTACTTTTGATATCTGATTGGCACGTTGCATTAGATTTTGTGTTGAAACCTACATTTTATAATCTCACTGTATTACTTAGTACGGGCCGGCGACTGTGCATTTGTGGTTGGAGTGTTGGTTTTGATTTGCAATTATCAAATTTCTTGGTGGTCCTTTTGCCACAAATTTCTTGGTGGTCCTTTTCCCACGTTGAATTTTATGATTGTTTGAGGGATTTAATCACTAAACTGGACAGAATTCCTAAAGTATTGTTCCGGAGGGCTTCCTTAGAATATTGAAGAAGAGAAACAAAGGAGCCATTGGAAGTTCAAGTACAAAATGGAACCTTTTAGTTTCTTTATCCTTGGGGATTTTATGATGGTGCCATCCCTTCTTGGTAGCTGTTTAGAAATAAAAAAGGAGAGTGAGTGTTGCTTGCAGGTGAATCCTGACATCAAAGAGAATGATATAGGACAGGTTTGTGACATGGATTCTCTGGACTGGAAGCCTAATAAACCCTCTGGAAAGCTACGATGCTGTGGAGCATGCCACTGCTAAGATTCCCATCAAATAGTTGAATGCTGCTAGCCCATCACACATCAGTGAGGTCTAGCCGCACCACCGGCAGACTCATATGAGGCAGAGGGGATCTGACCAATAATGTTAGAGATGCCATCGCTTGGGCGGCTGAGCTCGGATGTTTTGTACCTAGGTGGTTGGCCTAGTGGTCGAGGGGAGGTTATGATTGTAGCTGAGGGGAGGATTAGAGGGTGGAGTTCAGGTTTTCTAGCTTATGGTTTTGTCATGGACCTTATAAATCCTAGCATCATATATTTCTATGTATATATTGGGGTTGGGTAACCAACATATTGGATAGTATCATGGGATTCAAGTCAAGATTTGTTTTTTAAACCTTAGAATGGTTGCGATGAATATTCAAGATAGGTAAAACTTAGTCAGATTTTTGGACAGAGTGGTGTCAAAACCCAAATCATTTTATGGCCTACATATAATTCATTAAGCGTCTCTTTCGAACACTTGTTAAAGTAAAATTTAAATTTAGATGATGCTTTGTAATATTTCATAAACTAGATCTAGCACATACTTTTTTGAAGTCAATGGTTTGACCAGGAGCACCAACAAGCACAAGCAGCATAACACTTTAATATACTTTATATGTTTTCCATTCAAATTGTTGGTGATATTAACTTTTTTTTTTTTACTTTCTTTTTATTAATTCCATACAATTATTGTGTTCTTTCATTATAATTTTATTTTTGATAAGCTTTTTATGCCAAATTTTTATTCCCTCAATCCCTCTCTATTCTAACAAACTTGTTCCATTTCCTGGTTACCGTAAAGTGTTTAAAATACACAATGGGCCCAGTGATTTCTTATGAATTATTGAAATTTAAGTACAAATTTAGCAAGTTGACATCGATGGAAAGCATTTGATTGTAGAGAAATACAATGATACACTTATCAAATTTGCAGATGCTTCCGGAATTAACTTTATTTACAATCATTGTAAATGGGTTTCATTAGGCATAGCTTGTCTTGGGTCTAATCTGGAGAATCTGCCAGTGCTTGAATATCCTGGAAGATTCAATTTTTAAATAGCCTCTTCTTACTCCTGCCTACTCCTTTTTTCCATCACTCATTTACTTTTACAGTTTTTGATTTGCCTTATTTTCCACTTATGTTACTTGACTTGCACCGTCTCCCTTGGGTTGTTATTGTGTGATTTTGCTGCCTAGTTGTATTGATCTTTTCAGTTCAATTGCTTGGAAAATAATCTCTTATTTATTAAGCCTTTGATTGTTTCATTTTCCTTATTCTTTTTAAGTGTTCAGATGTCTTGCAACACTGAATAATCATAAATTATAGTTTCTAAATATCAATGGAGTGATGATTTTTTTCCCTTTTTTAGGCTGCCAAGACAGTTGGGAATAATAATGATGAAAAATTCATAATTCAATCCATTAAATTTTTTTTTTCACTTCAAAAAGATATCTATTTCTTATGTTTGATGGTTTTATTAATTGTTATGTAGTATGTCTAATAGTTATAGCATAGAAAGTTTGCTTGTTTTAAGGCTTGATTTTGCAGTAATAGACCACCTGTCTTTCGCTTTGCTCATTACACATTGATAACATTGGGAGTAATGCGGATTGCATAAGTTTCAGATAAGTGTTTTATGTACTGTCGGGAAGTCATTTGTTTTCTTCTTCTTCTTTTGTTTTAAGTGTTCACATGCCATGTAGTCACTGAATAATCATAAATTATTTTGTCTAATTGTAATGGTGTAATGATTTTTTATCCTTTATTACACAACCAAGACATTTGGGAATAATAACGATGAAAAATTCATTTATGTTTGTTTACTCCATAAATATATGTGATTCTGTATCTTGGAAAGTCTTAAATTTGACGCATAATATGTTGATTATTTATTAATTATGTTTTATGTCTGATAGTTATAAAATAGAAAGTTTGCTAGTTTGTAGGTTTGACTTTGCATTTATTGCTTCCTGTTTTTTGCTTTGCTCATTACACATTGATAGCATTGGGATTGATGAACAGTACATAAGTTCCAAAAAAGTATTTTATGTACTTTTAGGAAGTCTTAGTTATTTAGTGCTCAGCTTCTAGTGTATGTTTCCTTTCCAATCTGTCTTCATCTCCATCTTTTGTGCTCAAACTATTTGAGATTTATTTTTTTAAATCCTTTGTTGCCAAGTTTCCATCAAAGGCTGCTTTTGTATTACATGTGGGGTTGCTAAATATCGCTAAGTTTATTCTTATTATGTTAACCTTAACCTCTTGTTTCTCATATATAGCAATTTTCAAATTACTCCTTTTAGCTATTTAATGCAATTTTGCTTCTCTCTCTCCCTTCTTTTGTTCACAAGCACTTTTTCACATTCACAAATACACACTTGTGTGCACTCACGAGTGTCCCAGCATTATCTTAGTTTTTTCAGAGAGCTTAGCTTACCTTTCGAAATGTTATGGAATTGTCTTGGTTGTAGTCCAAAGAAACTAAGAAGGGATGAGAAACCAGAGGTTAACTTGGCGCATTCGAGCCATCGTCATTCAAGTGTGATGGAAGCTACTGGTCATGAACAAAAACAACGACCTGCGCAAGATGAAGTGCCACTTAAAACTCTTCCAGCTTTAAGTTCCCCAACTCTGCAGAATGAAAAGAAGAATCTAGAAGGAAAGGTTGATAAGCCTTCCACAATCACTCAACATTCCTCAGACAATAGAGATGCTCCACGATCTCGCTCATACTATCAGGTTTCGTTTTTGGGCTTTTGTTTTTCGGCTTCATTGCTTGATGTAATTCCATTTTTCAAAATTTATTTCTTCCCCCAGCATAAAACCTTACCCCCATTATGCTATTTCACTGTTGAATACATTTTTGTCCCGCTGCAATGGAACTCCCTAGTTTCCTGCTGCATTGGCTTTTTAAAGTATATTATATATATAATGTGATTTCAGCTTGATGAATGATAATTACCTATAGGAGTACCTCAGAAAGTCTGTATCTTCTTCGTTCACCTCTTATTGGTCTGGAAACGCACGTCTTGCTTTTGCCAGAAAGTGTACCTTATTTTAGGTGGCAACTACTGCGGCTCTAGGTGTTTTTTTGGGCTTTCCAAAGTGCCAAGAATAAGCTCTCTTTACACATTGCCTGTTCACCGATCCATTTTTTAATCACTTATTATGAAGCTTAGTTAATTCATACTAATTGGAACCATTGCTAGGTCTGGAATCCATTTTAATCTGTTGGTACTACAACCTTCTGACTTCATTTATATCTTCCATTTCTATCTTCCGTTGATTCAATTCTTTTGGTTGCGACCATTTACTGCTCAGTTATTGGGTTTTCCTCCAATAAGTATCTTAGTTTTCTGTTCTACCAATATCCTACTTATTTGTAATTGAGAGGCTGATAGATTTATGCTGTCTTCCGCCATTTTCTTGCACTAAGCTTTTTTGTCTAATTTTATCCTCAGTGAACTATAAAGTTTAGTTTCCATTATTGTTTTAGAAGATAGTAGAAGTGCTAACGCAACTCCCACTAGCAATGCGTTACGTAGCCTCTATATTTGAAAATTCTAGGCACTAAAATTATGCTAAAGATTCTGGCAGATTTAGGATATTTCAAATCTATGTTGTGCATTACACGTAGTTGCATTTATCATCAGAGTCAATATGTATAGATGCATCGTTAGCTTGTGAAATTAGCTTTTTGATAGTTTAGTTATCCAAATTCAACCCCAAATAATTGGGATCAATGTTATTAAAGGCACTAGGTACTCTCAACGACATATGATTGTTTAATGTCTGAGGTACTTGGCAGAAGCCTAGGTGTTTGCCTGAGCAAAATGAAGTTCCAAAAAATTTAAATATTTTAATAATGAGAAATTTTTTTATAGTATAATTTGATAATTATGATATTAAAAAATATAATATATTAGACAAAAAAGTACATTTTAAACTTTTATTTCACTCCAAACATGAAAAATCTTTTTGAATATAATCTAACGAAAGTGTTCATATGATGTAAAAGTTGTATGTAAAATTTAAACAAACTGATGAAAAAACTCAAGCTGTTAATTTCTGTAACCTAAGTTTCATCTAATAATTGCTGTTAACTATACTCTTTTTCCCATCACAATATTTGTACCCCTCCACTCTTCTGCTGGCTTCCTCTATCTTATGCTTTTCATCATCAAAATCTGCAGCAATTGAACTAGAGGCTCTTGACATTCTTGCATTTATATTTGATCTAATTTGGTTCTTAGTAAGCATGTTTTTTCTTCAACTTGTAATGCTCTTTCTACATCAACCCACACTTGTTTATAATGAATAACACAACATAACACAAAGGTCCCCTGGAGCATTAAAAATATTTATTAAAAATTCAACAATATAAAAGAAAAAAATCCTTGTATGAAATTAGGTTGTTATTGTTATTATTATATAAATAGGGTATAATATTAAGAGCGCAAGGGCTTATGCAAATTTATTAGAATCATATAAGTTTGACAATGATAGTTATAGGAGTTAATGGAATTATATAATTATGTTAAAGGATAATGAGATGTGAGAATTAAGGGGTGAAACAATAAGAGTAGAAAATAGTTTTAATCAAGTTGAGATATTGGGAATACTAATTCATGACATAAATAAATTAATTGAACCTTTGCCTATCTTATATTAAACATTTTTGATTCATTACTTAACCTTCAGAAGTCACCCTTCATCCAACCCCTTTCATGCGTTCAAGAATTCATCTTTAATAACAAATGATAAACATATACTAAAAAGGTAAATCATAAATAGAGTTTAGAAGGGAAAAAATAGTGGATGGATAAATATTAGACTTTTTAGCAATCCTAATTAATTAAAATTTGAGCATAAGAAATACTTGAAAAATATTTTAGTTTATATATCATATTATTTACACGTTTTTAAGGTGATTTCTAGGAACTCATATTGAGGAAAAGCATGACAATATAAGAATATGCAACTCATTTATCTTAGGGGAAGTTTTGGTGTATTACCAAATGTTTATATTACCCAAAAAAGGAAAAAAATCAATATAAAAAGACAGAGGATAAGGAAAGTATTATGTGGAAGTAAGCACTTATCCTCTTCTTGATAATGAATAATAATCTATCCTTAGCGAATGCATTTCTCTACATTCACTGATTTTTTTTGGGATTTTTTGTATTATACTATACTTTTGTTGCATCTTCTTGCAATTATTTTCCTCTCACATTGTTGTCTCCTTACCTGGGGGGTTCTTCTTCAGACCAGTTCCTTCAAGTGTCTCAATGTATTTAACTTTCTTAGGCTGCCTGTCCATTTATCTACAGCACGATGACCGTGGCAGTGCCGGACAAGGTGGTCGAAACTTCGGTCGAAGGGTTACAGGTGCGCTCCTCCAACCAAGCCCCTTACTTTCTCAGCCATACCTTTTCAACTAATTTCTTCAGCATCTTTTACCTCCCTTGTCACAGATCGTCGGAAATGGGATGATTCCAGGGAAAATTCTGGCTTTAAGGCTAGAGATGACCTAAATGATCAGCCCAAGAAGGATGAAAGGTCTCAGCCTCTTGCAGATGAGAAAACCGGCGTCTGGCGACACGATAGGTTCCATGAGTTGGAGTCTAGAGTTCCTCCTTCCAAGAAAAGACCTGCTTTCAGGGAGAAGAAGTTGCCAGCCGAACCACCAACTGATACAGCTGCAACAGGACCAGATAAAGCAAAGCTATCTACTCGTGAGCAACCAGACTTAGCCACTGCAAAGAGAGGAGAAGAAAGGGTTGATAAGCCTGATAGGACATTTATGAGAGCCGACGATAGGCGCGAAAGGAGAGGAGATGGTTTCTATCACAGAGGAGAAATACCGAGGAATGTCGATCCATCGAGGAGGGAGAGATATGCAGGGATGAGAGGTCGAGGCGATAGGTTTAATGCTCGGTATGGCGAGAGAGACTCGAATCGTGCCGGAGGCTTTGAAGTGGAGAAATGGAAGCATGATTTGTTTGATGAGGCAAATCGGAGTCCACCTCCAAAGAATGAAGAAGAGCAGATTGCAAAGGTTGAAGCCCTCTTAGCATTATGATTCTAGCTAGCTATAAGCTCTTTCTTCTCATCTTTGTGATTAGATTACCTGCTTAAGATGTTCCAATGGATCCTTGATTCCATGTATTCGTTATTTTGTGGTTTGTCAAATATGTGAACTTATGAGGCAAAAATACTTTGGCTGTGATCAAATGCTTACTTTCTTTCTACCTAGTGAGTTTTTATTTTCTTATGATCTTCCTTCATTCAATGACTACTTTTGATTTGAAAAATCCTCTTATAATTATATATTATGTGAAGATTTAAGTTAAAATTTTTCTTTTAATTTTGTGTATAATGGATGCTGCCTCCCCTCTTTACAGTTTGTGATGATATTTTGCCAAACTTCGACTTAAAAGTTCTAATTCTGCCACTGTTTGTCAGGATTAAGTGATTAAGTATTCTGTGCTGATTCCGGATGGCGTCTGGAGATGAATGAGAGTGCATCACGTTATTTTTTTTGTTGTGTAACAGTGCTGTGTAATGCTGTGTACCATGTAACATGACGCGCTCTCATTCATCTCCAAACGGTCCGGTGTCTGCACAGAATAATTTATCGTTTGTCAGGTATAATAGATTTGTGATATCGAATGATGTTATGGACCTTTGAAATTAGGAGTTGATAGTCGGCTGTCAGCAGCAATCCATGGAAAGTATGAGGGGATTGCGACAATGGATTTGGCTTGCGATGTATTTTAGAATTTAGTAAAAAATGGGAGTTTGAAATACATCAAAAAATGAATTATGGTGTGAAAAAAGAGTTCATTAAAATTTTATTTTGCCATTTTTTTACTAAATCAAACACTAAAATTTTTGAATTCACATATGTTTGAAATGCTTTGCATTTCTTTTTCAACAAACTAAATAGCCCCTTATAGTTGATAAATGTATTTTTACTCACTCAAATAGGTAAGTCCTAAGAGGCATGTAAATCTTAAATAATATATCTTCAATTTAGTCTTCATGAGTGTTCTAATCATTTTGGCTATAGATGTTTGACACTTTATCTTCTTCGTTGTTTGATCTTCCCTCTCATGAAAGGAATCACATGTCAATTGCTAAATTTCACTCAATCTGCAACTATACCCATCAATTGCTGGATAAATTATTCTGTGTGGAGTCCGGAGGGGAAGAATCATCTATACCGTGAGTGTACACACTGTGTGCACTCTGATTTGATACATACTGTATATAAATATATATATATATAGCGTGTACACTCACATATACGAATGTTTCTTCCCATCCAGGCTCTGCACATAATAATTTCTCTAACTGTTGTTCTTCTATCAATTATTGACGCTTCAACTCTTGATAACTCAACTTCCCCTCCAATTCAGCGTACAATTAAGCTAATTGCACAATTTTTACTAACATATGATGTTCGCTATCAATAGCTATTTTATTTATGCAAGTGATCTTGGTTCAATGTCACCTTGCCATTGATGTTTGATTGAAAAAGTTGACTCTCAATAGAGAACAATAGAGAAAAAAGATTAATGCAGCCGATGCTACGCAGTGGAATAAAAGCTTGTTGATGTTGTTGTTATTATTGCTACACAATTAAACATTCTGAATTCATTTCATTTCCTTCACTTTCTGAAGGATAATTTTTCAAAAAATGTGCAATTTTCTCCGTTTCATCTAACTATAAAACTTCATGAGACAGACAATAATACTAAAGAGTTATTTTTTCTATCTTTAGAAACAGAAGTTTTAATTTTGCTCATATCAGCATCTACTCTTAACTCATTTTTATTATTTTGATATATCATAAATAAATTATCTTGATAGGGTGAATTGAATTCAGAACCATATGATCTCTAATTTCAGCAAACTTATAGTCAAATTGAACGTCTCGAAAATACGAACCAACGACACCAAATTCGACTCAATCCGAGCCCAAATGAGTCTAAATCGAAGACCCGAAGCGCATTTGGAAAGTTCAAAATATAATTTGGATGACCAAACGATTCCCAAACGTGACATGCTTATAGTCTAATAAAGTTGCTCGACAAGATGAATCCAACAAGCCCAAGATCATCAAATTCTGATATCATTAAAACATTCAAATGCCCAATAAACGGTCCACAACCAAAGGGATCAATATCGGTCGTCCATTCATACCACTCATAGCATACCCTTGATCTTCCTCATATTTATTGGTGATGTCACTTTCATAAAACTATAAATAGACTCTTTATTCCTCAAGAAAAGGGGGCCAAGCAAGGAAGAGAAGGAAAAAAAGATAAACTAAAGTTCCTCTTGCCACCAGACTCCTACTCGATCATCGACCGGACTTTCACCCGGCCACTGAATGACGTTGGACTTCTGCCCGGCCACTGACTAACGTTGGACTTCTGCCCGGCCACCGACTAACACCGAACTTACGCCCGGTAGCTAATTGATCCTATATTTCCACCCAACCACCCATCATAGCTGGATTTCCGTCCGATCTCCATTCATTATTAGATTTCAACTCGACAATTGACTATTGTAATATGATTGTCCTCAATTTCAAGGACAAATCAGTCACTTATAATTTATTCAAATACTATTGGAATCATTTCAACTTAACGTGACCCCATGGTTTTTTCCTCTAGGGTTTTCCACATAGAAAATTATGATATTTCTTTTTCCTCTGTTTGTGTGCTAGATACTCGTGCAACGCTATGACGTAAGATTTTTTGTACTTTACCTCTACAAATAGTCTAACCCGCAACAAATTTCCAAGCAACCAAATGATGTTTTAAACTCTTCCTTGTTAATCTATCCAGCCAAATCATATATCTTAATTTAATCATCAACTAATTAACCCAAAACAAAACATTAATAAAAAAAAACAATAAAAAATTCCCAAAAAATGATTCAAATTCTATTACCTAATCAATCCAAAACAAAACATTAATAAAAAAGAAACTGCCCAAAATTCCCAAAAATTCCCAAAAATGATTCAAATTCTATTAATGTAAAGTAGTAAACGGCCCCCCCTTAGAACAGAAATGCTATTTATTACTTCACATGTCCAGCATTAATTCAATATCATAGCAATTCCTGTATAAATTTATAACTATAGCTGGCATCAACAGAAGGCTTAATTCAAGTCCGAGGTCTTCTTCTTCCTCCTCCTCCTCTTCCAAAAGTGAACTGTGAACAGAGAATAGTCATGAGAAGGTGTGATGAGTTAGGCTTAGTTGAAACTATCTACGAAGCAGATCATGAAGAAGAAGACGAAGAAGAAGAAGAAGAAGAAGAGGAAGAGGAAGAGGAAGAAGATGGAAAGGCTTTGTCTAATCCTGCTTCTTCTTTCACCATTTCACCTGTAACTCTCTCATCAGTTAATCTTTCTTCTACTCCATGTAGTTTTCCTTCGTCATCTCCTGCTCTGCAAACCATTGTAGATGGATGGTATGTTTGATCTTCATTTGTTTTCTTAATTTTGTTTTTTTAAGAATTATCAGATTTATTTATTTTTTCTCATGAATTATAGGTCAAAGGCTGTGGGACATAATTGCGATATAGTAATTAGAGTGTATGGAGATTACTTTTTTCTTCATAGGGTGAGATTATAGCTTGCTTTTCTTTTGATTGATTGCTTTGCTTTTGATTCTGATTTGAAATTAAGGATTTGCTTTGAAATGAAGCTCTTCTTGATTTGATGGCTGAGAGTTTGGCTCTAAACTTAAGAGATTTTGAATTTGGAGAACACCTAGATCGTTTGGAAGTAAATCAGAATGAGTCACGTCACCCGGTACACAGGCTTGATACATAGCAAATATGTGATGTGGCACGTTCTGATTCGCATCCGGATGCCCTCTGTATTCGCAAATAATAATTTTACTTGGATTCAAGTCTCAGATAGGTATTTGAGCGCTGCCCCTAATTTCTTTAAAAATAAATTTGTTTGGAATAGTTTTCTCATTGTTTTATTTTTAGAACAATAATCAAAATTTTATTCATTTGCTGTCTTTTTTTTTTTTCAAAAAACTCATGCGATTGAAAACCATGCTTTAAAATAATTGCAACCATTCCAAACAAATTTTTATAAAAGAATTTTTTTAATAAATAATTACAACCATTCCAAACAAATCATTAAAAATTTTATAGGCAATATGAATTTATTCAGAAAAAAATAAATTTTTATAAAAGAATTTATAAGAACTGATGATTTTTCTATTAAAGTTATCTTTTTGATTCATTTATTTGAAGGAATAATTTCTTTTGTTGGAAAAAAATTATATTCGAGAATTTTTATAAGTAAAATTTGAATTAAATTAAATTTATAGTTTATTTTGAAATAAATATAACAAATAATTCAAAATAAATTTATTTTTAATTAATTATTGATGTAAGATTCTAAGCGACAGCTACTGAATCGCCTTCTCGGTTACTGTAATGGAGATTTAAATGCATTATTAATATTATAAATTTTGTTTAAATAGTCAAATTTTATGAGTTCTTCAGCTTCCAATAATGGATTTTAATTTATTTCTTTATTATTGCCCTCCGAAGGAACCGATGATCTCTGCCAGCCGTTACCTGAGACGGCGTCTATGGAAAGACGACGACGTCAGCGTCTCCCCACCGTTGAACATAACGGTCGAGACCTTCACCGAGCTGGTTCGCTTTTGCTACAGCGGGGCTCTCAGTCTAACTCCGTTGAACTTAGCGGCCTTAACCGCCGCCGCCGCGTTGCTTGAGATGGAGGATGGAGTCTCCGAATGGAGCATTGCTCGCCGGACGGAGGAGTTTTTCCGACGGGAGATTGCCGGAGACGAGGAGAAGGCGGAGGCCGTGCTGTGGAGTTGCGTGGAGATACTTCCAGGAGCTGGGGAGGCGGCGGCGGAAATGGCGGCGAGATGCGTGCAGGTGTTGACGGAGGCGGCGGCTGACGGAGAAGATGGCGGCGAGGAGTGGATCGCGAAGATGACGGAGATTCCGGCCGATTCGTTCGGAATGATTATGGAGTCAATGGCCAGGTGGTCCGTATATGATCACGATCATTTGTACAGAATCGCCGATCGGTACTTTCGGGTAAATATTAAATTTATTTTAAAATAAATTCAACTGCTATAAAATTCATATTTTTCTTTTTTAAACAGGTCAACAACGGCAGACTAACCGATGAAGAGAAGTTGATAATCTGCAATTCAATAGACAGCTCAAAGCTCTCGCATCACCTTCTCCTTCACCTCGTTCAAAACTCCCATCTTCCGCTCCGCTTCATATTCAAAGCCATGCTCCTTCCATACCCCAACGCCACCGCAGCCCGAATCGCCACCCTCGGTGACTTGCTCCACCATGATGCTGCGGCCAACCAAGCCTCCAACCTCGCCGTTCGCATTGAAAGCCTCGAACGCGATGTTGCCGGCCTCCGTCGCCGTCTCCGTTGGTCGGAGGAGAAACGATTCGAGTTGGAATCTGGCGGTCGAGCAAAAAGCTTTCGTTTTTTTCATGGCGATGGGGAAAATGGGGCCGCCGCTGCGCCGGCAGGGAGGCGCGTCGGGAAAGGGAGAGGATTGGGAAGGAAGCTGGTGGAGGGGATCAGAAGATTTTTTAGAAGGGATAAGGAAGGAGAGAGAGCTGGCAATATGATGATGAATAAATATTTGGCTTTTTATTAAACAGTAATTAGTTAATTAATTAATGGTTTAATTTCTTGATTATGCAAATTAATATATTTTTAAGAAAGTTAATTATTATGTGATCAGTAGATTAGATGCAAAGATTAAGAGAATGGGTGGTAGAAATTTTGACAAAATTACCAAATTTCTATAAAACCTGCAGCAGTTGAAATCAGTTTGAGATGAATTTCATAGGCTATATATTCCTGATTTAGAATTCTACAAAATTACCAAAAAAATATGTAGAACTATGTTTAAAGGCTTTACTTAAAGTACTATTTTTCAATATCTAAATATTTTGTTATAATTTTAGAAATATAGCATTTCAAAAATATCATATCAGAATTTTATAGAAAAATATCTAAATGGCCATAACTATGTTCTATACAACATGCTAGAAATTATGTTGTAAAATTTTTTCCTTTTAAAAGTTATCTTGATTGAACATCATAAATTTATATTTTAAATTAAGAAAATACTGTACTTGTATAATTATTAAAAATTGAGATAAGTGAAATATACATATCTCGAGCCAAATAATTTTTCAAACTAGCCCATGAATAGAAAATGAATTGAAATCATCCAAAATCACCTTTCTCTCTCTAAAAATTTTCCTCTCACTGGTCCGCTACTTTGAGGGGAAGAAATGAATTGATTTTAATGAAAAGATATATTTTCCATTTTAAAATCAGGACCTAGTGTCATGACGCTTGATCTTGTGTGCCACAATGCTCCCTTAAGGAGCACACACTACCGGGAAGCCCTAGGAGAAAAAATTTCATATTTCACAAACATGCACACAACGGTAGGAACACCCAGGCACCACTCGGTGAATCCTACCTACTTGGTCACTATTGTTGGATCTCCGCCTAACAGGGGCGGAACCAGTCTTAATTTTCAGGGGGGACAAGCTTATAAATAACTGTCGCGGTTGCAAGCATCCAGCGAGTTGCCGATAGAACGTTGGATTAGAGTAGGCGGTGGTTAGACCGGTATTGGTGGAACTTTTTAATTGGGATGGAGTTGAGACTGGTTTACAGTTAGCCATACCAGCACGAGTCAAGATACTTTGCGCGAATCTGGTTTGGTTGAGATGAAGTCCGTAAGGTGTGGAGGTGGCCTGGATACCCAAGAATTGCGAAATGGTGCCTAGATCTCGCATGGTAAAGGTGGAGTGTAGGTTGTCCAGAAGTTTCTTGATGGCAGTGGTGTTGTTTCCTGTAAGCAAAATGTCGTCAACGTAGACAAGAAAATACATACGAATTTTGTTTTTGTGATAAAGAAAAAGGGATGGATCGGAGTTACTCAGCTGAAATCCGAGGGTTTGGAGATGACCGGAGAGAGTGGCAAACCACTCTCGAGGTGACTGTTTTAGTCCGTAGAGCGCTTTCTTGAGGCGGCAGACGTGATTTGGATGATTGTTGTCAATGAACCCAATCGGTTGTTTCATGTAGACAGTGTGGTTAAGAGTGCCGTGTAGAAATGCGTTGGAGACATCCAGTTGATGGATTGGCCATTGGTAATGAAGAGCGATGACAAGGAGGATTCTGACAGTCGGCATTTTCGCAACTGGACTGAATGTTTCTGTGTAATCAAGACCTTGTTCTTGATTAAATCCTTGCGCGAAAAGTCTGGCCTTGTATCTTGCGACCGAACCATTTGCAAGGTATTTGGTGCGATAAGTCCATTTGCATCCTAAAATATTTTGTGCTGCGTCTGAAGGGACTAGTTCCCAGGTGTTTTGTGACTGCAGGGCTTGGAATTCTTGCTGCATCGCTTGTTGCCAGTGTGGAAGACGGACGGCTTCTTTATAACATGTGGGATCGGTAAGATTGGAAGTATGGATTAAACTGAAAATTTGCTTTGGTCTGGAGTGACCTGTCTGTGATCTAGTTTTCATAGGATGCGTAGTTTGCTGTCTTGTGTGTGTATTAGGTGGTGCCATAGCAGTGGCACTCGGAGTGGGATCGAGAACTGGAAGATTCTGAGTTGGTGTGAGATCTGTAGAGGTAATGTTGTCCGGTGCTTGAGCCGTGGTGGGAGCACAGGTAGAGTTGATTGCGGATTGAGTTGGAACCAGCAGAAGAGGCGGAATAACATTAGAGGTGGAAGACTGATCATTAGATTGAGTAGAGGTTTGGTAAGGAAAAATACCTTCGTGGAAGATCACATGCCGAGAAGTGTAGACGAATCCAGTATTAGGATCTAGACATCGGTATCCATTCTGAGCAGAGGCGTAACCGATGAAGATGCAGGGGACCGATAGAGGCGAGAGCTTAGTGGTGTTATATGGGCGAGTCCACGGGTAACAGAGACATCCGAAAACTTTTAAGTGCGTATACTCAGGAAGTTTTTGATATAAAATGTTGTATGGGCTTTTGTTTTTGAGAGTTCGGGAGGGCAGCCGGTTGATGAGGTAGACCGCTGTATGAAGAGCTTCGACCCATAGATTTTTCGAAAGATGAGCTTCGATTAAGAGACTGCGCATGGTTTCGAGTATGTGACGATGTTTTCGCTCGGCGACGCCATTTTGAGCAGGCGTGTGAGGGCAGGTGAATTGATGAATCATGCCTGTGGTTTTGAACATAGCCTGAAACTTGTTATTGCGGAATTCACCGCCTCCGTCAGATCTAAAGACTTTGATTTGTTTGTGAAATTGATTTTTAATTAGATTATGTAGTTCAAAAAATTTATCAAAAGCCTCAGATTTGTGTTTGAGCGGGAACGTCCAGCAGTATTTCGAGAAGTCGTCGATGAAGGATATGTAGTATTTGTAACCTTGTACCGACGTGGTGGGGGATGGCCCCCAAATGTCTGAGTGAACTAAGTCGAAAATTTGAGAAGTAAAAGAGTTAGAGTTCTTGACAGGTAAACGATGGCTTTTAGCCAAGTTACAAGATTGACAGAAATGTTTATTAAGATTGCTACAAATTCCCGGTATAGTTTTGCTAATGACATGTAAGGTTTGTTGTGCCGGATGTCCCAGACGTTTATGCCAGAGGTTTGGTATCGTCTGAGCGGAGAATAGCGCTATGCCTGAGATGTCAGAGGGGGAGCGAACGGGATAGAGCCCGTTAAGGCAAGGTCCCTTGAGAAGAGTTTGACCCGTCTTCGAGTCCTGGATATGAAATTCATGAGCAGAAAACTTGACCGAGCAATTGTTATCTTTGGTTAATTGATAAATGGATATGAGATTGAAGGACAAGTTCGGAACATGAAGCAAATGTTTAAGATGTAGATTACCTTTTGGAGTTGGTAGAATACCTTTTCCGGTGTGCTGTATAGGAAGCTGATAACCGTTGCCTACGGTGATTTGTTGAGTTCCGGTGTAGGGTCGACTGGCTTGAAGATTAGACGATTCAGACGTGAGATGATTGGAGGCACCACTGTCAAGAAACCAGTCGGTGGTGGAGGTAGCTTCAGACGGGGTGAATAGCGCAGTCTTGATTGATTCTTCATTATAGGAGGGATCATTCCTGTACCAGCACTTGATGGCAGAGTGTCCAGTTTTAGAACAAATTTGGCAGGTGATGCTGCTAGACGGGTTCTTGTCGGAACGACTACGTCCGCGGCCAGAATTGCGGCCTCTACTGGAATTGTTGCGACCGCGACCACGACCTTTGTAGACGGCAAGAGCAGTGGTGGGATCATTGAGATGAAGATTTTGAAGTGCTGTGGTGTTTTCTTGAGCAAGATTGAGCTCTTCGCTGCAGAGCAGCGTGTACAGGTCATCAAGACTAAGCGGTTGGAGGTTGGTTCGAATAGAGGTCTTGAAAGACTGGTATTGCACCGGAAGGCCGTTGAGAGTGTAAAAGATCACTTCCTCGGAATTTAATGGAGATCCGGTAGCAGCGATTGCGTCGACGATCGTCTTGACGGATAGAAGATATTGTTGCATAGATTGATTTTTCATAGACAAGTGGTGGAGTTCATTTCGTAGCTGAATGGTGCGAGAACGGGTATTAGACTGGAGTCGACGGGCAATGGTTTCCCATATTTGGGCACAATGATCAAGTGAAAGAACATATGGGAGGATACTGGGTGAGATGACCGAATACAGGGCAGCAGCAAGATTCTGATCAAGAAGATTCCATGTTTGGTAGGAAAGTTCATTTCCCGTTGGGTGGTGATGGGGGCTCGGACAGAGAATGGTGCCATCAAGAAAACCTTCAAAGCCATTTGCCTTGAAGAGTTTGAATACTTGAGAGCGCCAGATGGGGAAGTTTTCGGAGGTAAGGGTGAGGGAGATGATGCCTTTAATGTGGCTCATCAAGAATTTGAGTTGCTGAGGTATAGCTTGAGTTTCGGAGAAGTTACCGGAGCTTTGGCTAGGTTCCGATGCAGTTGCTGCTGTGGAAGAAGACATGGCCGGCTGCCGTGAAAGTGAGCGGAAGAAAAAGAATCTCAGAAGAACTTGAGCAGAAGGAGAAGAGATTGGAAAGGATCCTGCTCTGATACCATGAAAGCTTCAAGAAACAGAAGCCATGACAGGTACAGGCCAAGATACAAGATGGAATTAAAGAAGAAGAAATGTATATTGATATTAAAGTAAGAGTACAGACGCCCTATATATAGACTTAGATAATAGTCTAAAATAAAAGACCAATGAGGTAATTACACGTGTAAAGTAACCATTATAATATTTAAGCTATGTACTCTAACACTTAATACATTCTTATTTCTTTTCAATGATCATAAAATTAAGAATTGCTAACTAAGTAGTTTGCTTGAATGGATTGGGTGTGTTTTGGGTGAACATAGAAGTTTTGATGCTCTATGAAGAATGTTAAGCACATGCTTAATTGATTGAGATTTCGTTCGGAACAGTTTTTTTTATTATTTTGTTTTTTAGATAATAATCATTATTTCTTTTTTGCCTATTATTTTTTTGACTTTTTTCAACAAAATTTTATTTTACGAATCATCATAATAGCTTCCAAGAAAGTTATTTTCTCTCCAATAACTTTAGAATAACCTTTACAAAAAGTTATAGCCACAAG